CTCCTAATGCTTGTGGTTGGGGTTGCTTTCCTCTTACTCTTCTTGCTTTGGGCGATTTGGTGGTTGTGGATGGGTCTTCCTGAAATTCTCTCTTCTCCTGCGTTGGCGGTTTTGGTTTCTGTCTCTTTGCTTTGGACTGTCTCACGCTTAAGGGTTTCCTCTTTTCTGCTGTTGGTATTGCCGAAGTGTCCATTGCTTCTGCGGTGTCGGGCACTACATCTATGTTCATTTTTGATTTTTCCTCCTTTAACTTCTTTTGGTGATTTACCTTTTTGACTTATTTGTTGATTAGTTTTTCTGTTGGTTTTATCTTGGACGGTTTCTCTTCCTCGTCTTCGTCGGGTATGATGGCGTCTGTCAGTTTTGATGCTATTAGTCCTCCTATTGACCCTCCCTTTGCTGTTCCTCCTGCTGTGGCGACTGCTTTGATGACTGGTTTGGATGATTTAAGGAATTTCTTTAAGATGCTTCTACTGCTTGAAGGCGGTTCTTCGTCCTCTTGTATCCCTGCCGATGCTGTTGCTCCGACGGCGTCGTATGCCCCTTTGTTTGCCATAATATAGTGGTCTTGTGAATGACTTAAGTTTGCCTGTTCTGCTACTCTCCTTTCGTTCTCTTCCCTCAACCCTGCCTCTCTGTCAAAGGACATCTCAAAGTCGCTGATGGTGTCGTCCCTCAAGTCGGTCATATCTTCAAAGTCAAGGTTGGGTGTTTCTTCTTCCTTCCTTGCGGTCGCTTCCTCTGCCATCTTTTTGAAGTTCATTTGCTGTAAGTCTGCTGGGTGGATGTTGTTTGTGTTCAGTGCTTGACCCTGCGGACTTTCGTGAAAATACCAAGCGTTCCTATCAAAGATTTTTCTGATGTCATTGGTTTTGAACTTTTCCCTGTCTATTTCCTTGAGTTCCCTGTCTATTTCCTTGATGAGTTCTGCGTAAGTGGGTATTCGTGTCAATCCCTCTTTTGTGTTGATTACTTCTGCTGTCATTGCTATATATTAATACTTTAGATTTTTATATTAATCTTGTGTATCGCCTCTCAACCGCTGTTTATACTCATCAATTCTCTGTTTCATATTCTGGACGTTCGCCCCGTAATCTTCCAATCTGTGATTTTTCCTCACCTCCCTCAACCTTGTCATTTCGTTCTGTAGCATCTCATTCTCTTCCTTCATCCTCTGCTTTACTTGTAAGACCTTGTAATCGTGCTCGGTGTTGTGATATTCAAGAAGACGCTTTAGGTAAAGATGATGGTTGTGAGTTGGCATCCTTGCCGTGTTGCTGTCGTTGTGGTAGTAGTGGTCATAACTACTATACACTGTTTTCTTCTGTCTGGCATTTCGGGCGTTCCGCTCCTGTAGTTGGCACTTTTGTTTGAATGGACGGTTTGTCTTCTGTTGATGTCCTTGCGGACGTTTTCGTAGATGTTTGTTTTGTTGAGATCCGTTTTCTGTTCCTTGATGTTCATTTTTATATATAATACTTTATAAAATGTTTGATGCTAAAGATTTCAATTTCTCTCTCGTCGCTTTTTTCTTTTCCTCTTTGGCTTTGTTGTAGGTGTCTCTGGCGGACATCGCACTTTGTAGTTCTTCCTTTATTTGTTTTACAAGGTCGCTTTTGAATGCTTCTGGGTCAAAAGGTGGTTTCGCCCTTGACGGTCTTACCCTTTTGGGTTTTGGGACTACCGTTGCTGGTTGCGGTTTCTCTTGAACTGGTGTTTCAATTATTTCTTCTGGTTTCTCCTCTTCCTTCGGTGCTTCTTCCTGTATTGGTTCTGGTATTGTTTCTTCCTTTGGTTCTTCATTATCAATCTCTTTTACGACTACCTCTGTCATATACTAATATTATAGATAATTTTTTATACTTTCAAAATCTCGTGCCTCAAATACGGTTTGTTCAATCCTTCCAGTTTGAAGGTTCTGTTTCCGACGTCGTCGTATTCTATCTTGACGATTTTGTAGGATTGATTGCTCCACTTTGAGTTATACTCCTTCCTCTCGGTGTAGTTGTTTTTTCTTCTCAAAGACCTTGACCATATCATTCACTTTGACCTCTGGATATTTGCGAGTGTTCTTTTCCCTCCTTGTCGAATTCACCCTGACGTCCATATGGTTCTTGTCGTCGTGGGCATCCTTGGGTTTCATTTTGGTTGATGAATGGACGGTGTCGTTGTATTTATCTAACGCTTTGGACGACATCACAGTCCAACTACCGCGATTAAACCTAACTCTATCGTGTATCATATTTTTCATTATCCTTATGAAACGCTCCACAACATTAGCGTGTGTTAGGGTGACGACGTGAGTGATGCCTTCTTTCTCAAAAAAGTCTTTTACCCCTGCTTGGAAGGCACGGTCATTATCACTATAAACGGACATTGGAAAACCCATTTTGTTGAAACTCTCTTTCATCGTCGACAATGTAATTGGTCCGGATTTTTCTTTCATAGGGACGACGTTTGCCAACTTGCTGAAGATGTCAATGACCACCAATCCATATCTCGGTTCGTCGTTCTTGATGGGAATTTTCGTCTCTGGTTCTTTGGTAAGGGGTTTCATATCCATTATGTCAATCTGATACTCAAACCTTGCAAAGGGTGCGGTGTAGGAGTTTGAACCCTGCATTTTCTAATCTGTTTGCTGGGTTGTTTCCTCATAAAGTTTTCCACATCCACCCTGTTGATGGTCTGGTCTTGTTCCTTTGCTTTCTTGAGGGTCTCATTGATTGAACCGAAACCCGTTTCCAGATTGTAATAGACATTGCTTATGATGTCATCTCTTGATAGTCTCCTTGCCATATATTATAATATTAGATTTTCCAAAATATCAACAGTAAAAAATTCAGACCATCAAGTTTAAGCAAAAGTTGATGCCACATAGGTGGCTTGTTTCCCTTCAGAAATAGCCAAACTGCTTTCTGACCAAGATTATGTAGGTTTTAAATCTTTCATGGTGCTTCACCCGTTAATCTAAAGGACTTGCAACGGGGTTGACCTAGCTCCTTGCTTTAAGAGTGGCTTGAAGGGACTTATAGGGAATACATGAACATGTAACATGAACTTGAACCCTCAACTCAACTCAACAATCTTCCCAAGACCCAGAGTAGCCGGCGGCCGGCAGCTATATCTTGATATGTTGCAACATTGCATATGTATGCCATAGCTGCCACTAATAGCAATCCCACCAAAAAAATACATGAGAAACTTGGCACAGGACCGCACCAGTGGTTCTGCGCCGGTAGTGCGGTGACTCACTTTTTTTAAGCCAATGGTTGGTGGCTTCGCTGATGTTCAGCTAGCCATTTGTTTGGCCAGATTTCCACCTGCGCAGGGCGGGAATGACAAGATGATGATGACAAGTGGTAGTGACAAGACAGTGATGTGATAAGATGTAAATGAGATGTGGTAGGTGATGTGAACAAAAAACCAAAATCTCACTGGTGTTGCTGAGTCATTGAAAGTTAAAGGTTGGAGGTGTTTCTTTCGAGCTCTCTTAGTAAGATAAAGGCCGGGCCCAAAAATGGCAGCACATCAGCTGCGGCACATGAGCACCAAGCGCAACATTTGTTGTCAGTTGTCAGCGCCATTGCTAACAGGTCTTTGGTCAGGTCAACAAATTGTGGTTGCTATCACCGCTGTGCGTGGGACATTGAACCCGTGGTGACAATGCCACAAAAAGCACCTGTGCCACTGCTCCGTCCAGCACAAGATTCTACATTTCTACATGCATATCTGCCTGTCTACCTGGCACCAATCACAAAAAAATCTGAGTCTGACACACGGCCTCATATGACCTGATAGATATGTTGATATTGTTGCCGATGTTGATGTTGTTGTTGGCTAGGTATACTCCCCCAGCCGGGGCCCAGTATGTATACTACTACATACTACATCTCAAAGTGACACATGGCTTCGTAGCACTACTCTCGCCGCACTCTTTTTCCACCTTCTGCCCAACGGCCTATAACAGTCTCTCTGTTCACCTGATATCCTCAGGTTTGCCTTGGATCGGTCACTATGTGACACGTGCATAGCCCCAGACCACCTTCTGCCTAACGGCCTATAACAATCTCTCTGTTCACCTGATATCCTCAGGTTTGCCTTGGATCGGTCACTATGTGACATGCGCATAGCCCCAGACCAGTACCCACTTCTGGTCAGAGCTGCCTGGCCACCCCAGGCTGGAACATGTTTTCACAGGTATCACCGTATCACCGTTGCCTTTGCCGTTAGTTACTCAAAACCGCCACTGAAACCGAAACAGAAACTCGCTCTGAAAAATCTGAAAACTGTTTGCGTTGCTGTGGTGTAGCCCAATGATCTGTGATCAGTGACCATAAATCATAAAAAAATGAATCACAATTTGCAACAAAACTGCAACAACAATACCAACTAGTGAATCAGTGGATTATCACTAAACTTGCTACTACACCACTGATCCCAAAAGAATATCAATGTCAGTGCCAGGTAAACATCTCCATTCAGTGGTAGTGGTAGCGGTAGTGCAGAAGCCAATTCAAAAACCACCAAATCAAAACATATACACTATTTAACATTAATAGTGATCATCATAACAAACATTACATTGTATCATTGTCAAATAGTCAAATTGTCAAATAGTCATATAGTTGTAAACCAGCTGCTTAGTACACATAACTGGTTTCGGCTTCTTCCCGCACCGCCAAGAGGATTGAGTCGGATTGAGTCACATTGGATGCCAATGTGGCTTTGAAGCCAGAATGGTTGTCCAGTGTCCAGTTGCCCAGCACAATTTCAAGTTCACTGAGAAAAAAACACGCTAAAGAGAGGGGCAAACAAAGCTAAGACAAGGGAAAACATAGCCACGTGTTGAGTCTTTAGATGCCAAACAGGGATATAAGCATATAAACATAAACGCACGGAACTTATAACCAGCCTGTTGATTTGTGTTGGTTTATGTTGATTTCACACAAAACTTACCAAGAGTTAATGGATCGCCTGAACTTGGGGACATCCAGAGAATATCAGCTGGGGGTGCGGTGAGACTTGGAAATGGTGATGGACAGCATGGGTTCTAGGGAGCGCTGAAACTGACACGCAATGTCAACCGCCAACCGCCCTGGCTTCGGAATCAAAGCTGTTCCACTGTTCTACTCTAGGAGTGTTCCTCTCATTGCTCATGTCTCACTTCAGAAGGTGCGTTCCCATCTTGAGAACGTCTTGGACGCTCTTGTCTGTCGTCATTTTTTTCTTTGTAGTTTTTGTCTTCAAGCAGCCAGTCTCTTCCAAGGCTTTTTTGAAGCCTGTGATGCCAAAGAGAGCATCTGCCGCAGCATCTTCGGCAGCAAAGAGAGCATCTGCCAAAGCTTTGGATCTTGCTGACTTCTGTTCGAACTCAGCTGGAGTTTGCATTCGAGTAATGGGAATGCATTCATTCAAATCAACTGCTGCTCCTCCATCCTCACTCTCATCATCGCCTTGACCGTCAAGTTTGTCCATCTGCTTCTTGACAGCAGCTGCACCAACGTCATCTTTCTTCTTGGTCAGCGCGTCAAACTTCTTCTGCAAACCAGCTCGACGTTTCTGATTGCGGACCTTCTTCTTCTGAGCCTTTACTTCTTTTGCCTTGGCAATTTCTTTCAACTTGGAATCAAGCTTTTGGTCAGGACAAATCCCAGCCCAATGCACCGACACTTCAACCACCGACTGTGCGCTTTCTTCTTCTGGTTTTTCCCATGACAGGATCAAATCATGATGAGCCGGCTCTGAATTCCCATCATCAGGACCATAGTTATCATCATCACCACCCTTCTTCTCCTTCTCCTTCTGATGTTCTGACGTTGGAGGAGATGCACCAAGTTCGTCTTCGCTCTGAAGGTACATGTAGAGGGTTTTGTTGAAGGCCTTTGTTTCAAAGAATGCCTGATCGTCTCTGGTGACTGCTCTTGCCATCCATGCAGGACAGAGTGTGTGTGTTTCACAGCCAGCCTTTTGAATGAAGAACTCGACACCAAAGACCTTTGCCAATTTGACGCTGTCTCTTGATGGAACCATGCTGACAGAGCCTGCATATGGCAAGAACATGTCCTTCTCATCGTCCAAGTTCTTTTGCACCTTTTTGACGTCTGCTTGAATAATCAGGTCCTTCTTCTTCGGGTCAATCCTGGCTACTATCCAATCAAACGCTCCAGAAGCAATCATGTCTTTGGTGTATTGATCCCAGACCAAGTACTCAAGCTGGGCCTTGACATTCATGATGTCCATCACAGAGACCTTGTCTAGCCAAGTTCCAAGGCTTCCGGGCTGCAATCAAAAAGGTCACTGCCGCTTGTGCCGCTGAACAGCATCAGCCTGCCCAGACTGAAAGGTCTGTTGCTGGAGTCAAACTCGGCATCAGGTTCATCTTCCTGTTGCTTGTTTTTGTCGATCTTGCTTTCATGCGCCGACCGGTTTTGAGCATCTTCACCATCACCTTCTGCAAAGTGTCGGGTCTGATGATCATCACCACCATCAGAGACCTTGGAGTTTTTGGGTGCACTCCATTTGTCCTGAAGCGCTTTGATGTCAAGCTGCAAGGTGTCAGCAACAAAGCTAGCAACATCCTGAGGGGAACACTTCTTCTGCAATGCCTCTGACCATACTTTTGGCCATGCATCTCCAGAAGCGCTCAACATGTCAAGCACTGATAGCATTTGAAGGCTAGAATCCTGCAAGTCAATCGAAACGAAGATCTTGAGCGCAGCTTTTGAGATTGCATTGGCTTCGAAGTTGATATGGCCGGCTTCTGCAGCAGACAGCGTTTGGGAAAGCAAGTGGATCAAGTACTTCATGCGCAAGGAAACAAACTCATTCAAGGTAGCTGATGATTTCCAAACATCATCAGCCTTCTCAATGAAATGACCACGGCTGACGAAATTATCAGCACAATCTGCTGCGAAAGCAAGCCATGCCGGTTTCAGAATTTCCTGAACCACAGCTTGAAACACTTCCAAGAGCTCCGGCAGGGAAAAAGCAGTGGTGGTGCCCTTGTTTGCTCTGACAACTGCAAGCCACAAAGCCCGGTGCGCCGAATGCATGTGAAATGGCATGCTCATTTCTGATGCAATGAAGCATCCAAGTTCCTCCCTGAGATCTTTCTGCAGCATGAACTGGGCAATGCGAATGACTGTGTGGTCCTCTTCGTCATGGATGATTTCATGCACTGGTGCGCTGGTAAGTCTTGTACACAGTCTCTCAGCCAACTTCAAAGGATCAACTGGACCAGGGCCATGTTCAGTCTGAGAAGAGTTCTGGTTCTGGTTCAAGTCAGATGCAACCATCATGTGAGTGTTGATGAAAAAGCACATCAGCTCCCATCGCAATGCTGAGTAGATTCTGAATGATTTACCTGACACGCTCACGCACTTTCCGTCAACATTCAGCATGAACTCAAGAAAGATGGATAGAGCATAGTCGTGGGTCTTCTGCAAGGCTTCAATCACACCAGGTGTGATCTGAATGCCCTGACGCTCGTACACGGCAATGACCAGATCCTGTGCCTAAGGAATGATGGTGCAGGGGCACTGGATACCCACAATGAAAAACTGTTGGGTTAGATAAAGACAATGTTGTACCTCATCATATAGTCATAACATAACATATCGATTCATGTGATTCAGTGATTCATATAATCTAGATCTTAGGCTGGGGTGATCTTAGCTATGATAAATTCAGAGGTTTCGGTTTTGAGTGAATGAACTGATGAATTATGAATAAAAACAACAAATAAACAAGTAATACGATCCCCAGCGTGATCAATATGCCATTTACTAGAACTCGCGCCAGCCGCATGGCACACTGCTTAGGCCAGACATCAGTAATCTTCCGCCATGTGGGATTCCTATTGGCACACCGACGGTCAAAGTGGACTAATTCTGAAGCAGGCAACTCAAATATATCTATTTACAGTACTATGCGTTGAATGCACACTTGTTAACCAAAAGTTGACAACCATATGCCTGTGTGAAAAGTCAGAACTATCATCCCCCGCATGGCACACCAAGTTTAGTTTCATGGTATTTCCAACATACAATATACAAACTTGGATGTGATCGACGTTACATTCTTTTGGTGTCTATGATCAACTCTACTTCATTCCAACCCTTTCATCCACTTCCCCATGGCACACCGCTGATCGGATCGACTTTCATTTTTCAGGTCATCAGGTCATCTTCTTATGTTATGGTTTTGTTTTCTTCCGCACAGCTTCCAGCCCTTTCATAAATCTCTTGGTTCTCTGCCCAAAAACCGCGCCTTGCCCAGAAGCAGCAGCACAAGCAACAAGAGCAGCAACAGCAGCAACAGCAGCAGACCAAGCAGCAGACCATTGCGAAGCCTTTCCAAAACCTCTCCGAGCTGGGTTTTCACTGGCTGCAATTTTAACAAGGTCGGAATGAGGTGCGAATGCGGTCCGAACGAGGTCCGAAATCAAATTTTAGGAGACTGACCCCCCTAAGTCTCCTGACAAACTCTTTGGTAGCCACACGCTTTCGCATTCTTTTCAGAACAGCAAAACTCAAGCGCTTTCAGCGGTGGGGCAGAAGAGGAAACCAAGCCAAGTTGCAGCTGCAGGCAAGAGCAAGGAGACAGAAGAGGAGATAAAGGGCGAGTAAGGGAGACAGAGGGGAGACAAAGGGACACAAGCTTGGCAAACAAGGCGACGGTGACAAATTTGAGCGGACAGACTGTCTGAGACGTAGGAACCGTGATAGCCAAAGATATCTAAAGGCCTAAAGGCTAAAACTGCCTGGGGAAGAGAAAGCAAAGCCATGGGCAGAGGAACCACCAGGCATGGGGCAGCAGGTCAGGATGGCCTATGGTCGATTGTCTATATTTGGGCCCCAAACTGAAGCAAAACACAACTCAAACATATTTTTTACAATTTAACGTGTTACCAAGTTCAAAACTCACAAACCGACACCTAAACGCCACGATTTGAGCGACTTCCTAAAATTTGTCTGCCAACCTAAATCCAGGAAAAGTATACAATTGCCACGACTTTTCATCTTTGGGAGTATAGTGGGTAAACTCACAAAGGTATGATAGGTAAGCATCGTGTCCCTATGCGAAGTGCCAAAAAATACATCACTCAGTAAGTTAAAGTCATAGGTGCTGCCCATGTGGGCCTTTCCCCATAGGCACACCATGATTTGGCACAAGATCTTGTCATCGGCACTTGTTACAACATCGACCCAGTAACATTGATGAATTGATCATTGATAACTGGCTGATAACTAGCTTATGTTATCTTGTCATATGCCCTCTATGCCGCCGTACCAGTTGGAATTCATAGGACTATCTGACCAAATTGTGACTCCACAGTGAACAAGTGAACAGTGAACAAGGAACTGACAGTGAACATAAAAAAAGACATAAGGCAGTCAAGACATATGACCTAGGACCTAGGCCGCTACTCGTGTTGAGCAAAACCTGGATGATAACATGTGAGTTTCCACTTGCAATCTGAGCGCACACACTGAGCTGTTTGATCCAAACGCATCCAAGCCAAGTTGCAGCTTGAAGACAATGAAGCACATCATCCAATGCAGTCTTCGGTCGGGAATCCTCAGAATCCAGTGTTTTCACTGAATCCACGAAACGAATGGCTTCCTCCTGCATAACATCACCTGGTCTCACTTCCTTGATGTTGCTATCAGGAGATTTTTCACACAGCTTTGCCACCAACCCATCTTTTGAAGCGGATTCTAGAATGCGATCACCATGCGCATCAGGTTCTTCTTCTCGTCGAGCTCTCTTCTGTTGATGTTCTGAAGGATCTTTGGCTTCTTTGGAAAGCTTTGCAATAAACCGGTCTTTGGCTTGTGACAGCTTCCTGAAAGTAGCACTTGCACCCATTGGAATGTTCATCAAATTGATGATGACACCATTTTCGGCTGGTGACTTGTTCAAACACCATTCAAGAACTCTTTGGTTGCCACGTGGCTTGCTTGGAACTGTCAGCTTCAAGGTCTCCAGCATGACTTGACCAATGAGCCGTTTGTCATAGAAGCGCTTCATCAATGTAGAGATGATGTTCACTGCCGTGTGCATGGTGTTGATTGTGTGCATCAAGTTCATGCGAGAATCCAAGAAGCTCATGTGACACTGGCACCAGTCTCTGAAGACCTTGCTGATCTGATAGTCCTCCAAGCGATGTGCAAGGGCTTTGCAAGCCTCGTAAGGCTTCCACGATGTGAATTTGTCTGTCCGTGACATCAGGTATTCCTCATACAGCTTGGCATAGGCACCACCATTTGCAGATGTTATTCCTCGTTCTCTGCAGTGAACCGTCCATGCCTTCTCGATGTCAAGGGCATGGTCAATCAGATCCCAGATGTTGACGCCACTGCCAATGTGGGACAAATTGTGAACTTTGACCAGCTCTTTGATCAGGTACACAGGAGTCGTCGACATGAGCATCTTGCATTGTTTCAATCCAGTTGCCTTTGTCGAAACCATTGGCGGGGCATCTGGAGATTCCTTGTCAGCACGGTAGAAGGCTTCACGCCGGTGATTGAATGTGATTGCTTCCACTGGAAGCTGCTTTTCCGGGCTCTGGTACTGAAACCAGGCAGCACCTGCAACATCTTGGTGATATCCATCCTTCAACATTCTCTCCTGATATTCCTCCACAGTTGTTTCCTGGAGAGGACGGTTGTGCGGAGATGCAACGACTGAAGGCATCATCTGCCCAACACCATTGAGAAAGTACCATGGAACGTCCAAGGTACCATCACCAAACCAACTAAAGATTTGTTCGATCATGGCAGAACTTGAAAGGTTGCCAAAGAGCTCCTGAGGGGTGGATGCATCACGAACAGCCTGCTCCAACTCCTTCTTACTGACCTGTGTTGGATCTTTCCCTTCAAGGATGCCTTTCTCCTTGCCCATAGTGACATCACCTCTGTCCATACTATCTTTGCTCTGTTCAAGATTGTCGCGAGACATCTTGGAGCGGCTTAGCTGAGCCCCTGTGTTCTCAGTGACAGTTGCTGCCACCTTTCGCTTTGATCCCACACCACCACCACCTGCACTGCTACCAGGCTGAATCGATGGTCTCATCGATCTTGCGGTAGGAGTCAATGGTAGTAGTCTCGAGTTTCTGGTAGTAGTTCAACTCACTCGGTTGGCAGTCAGTCGGAACACCAACCTCGAACCTTGAACCTAAATATAAAGGATGTCTCAGCAGTTCGAAGCATTCATGCAATTGCTCGTTCAAACCACAACTCAGCTTCACTCAAGTACTGATGTCTGATGTCATGCTTTTTGCTTCAATGTATTTCTTACTTCTAGACCATTATGCATCATTGTTCAAGTCACACTTCAACCGATCCTCACATAGCATCATCACAGATACCCACGCCTCCACAATCACTGTGGTCACATTCAATGAATTTCAGAGACGAATTCAAGGAGAAAGGTGCCTGTCGCGGTCGCGAAATGACAAAGAAACAGAAGTCATGTAACATAAACGGAAAGAAGTACAAATTCAGATGGAAACAAATGAAGAAGGCATACTTTAGTGCTTGATTGCCAGCTTGTCAAATTGGTCTTTTCTTTTGTTGTTGTTCTGAATTTAGTCAGTTAGAAGGGCATTCGCTCAACAATTCTGTTTCACTTGGGTTGGTTAATTGGCAACTGCTACCCAAATAAAACGTAACACCAGCGCCCAATCAACATCAATCCATGAGGAAAGAAAGGCTCAGCAGTCAGCAGTAAATACCTAAAGTAGCAGCGTCAGTGTAATTGGGAATTGGCAGTTGGTCTGGTGGCTGGCTGACTATGATTTCGCCAAAAACCGTCCATCCATCAACCAAACTCAGCTTCCATGTTTCTTTCCCTCGCATCAATGTCCCAGATTTGAGTACTAGATACCAAGACTTGAATGGCAATGGTCATGGCCAAATCGAAACCAAATTGTTGGTGATGATAATTGTTCGCAATGGTGCGACAATTTACTAATTCAGTGATGACGGTGATGAAATGACAATGTTACAGTGTTACAGTGTTACAGTGATGATGATGATGATGATGAGGATGCTGATGGTGATGATGATAAGTGATGCATGGTGGCGATGTTGATATCAACAAAATGATGGTGATGATGATGATGGTGATGATGATGATGATGCTGATGCTGTTGTTGACCAAACCAATGCCAGTTCCAATATGGTCTACCTGCTCTTCTACGGCCGGTCACGTGCCAATAGGCTCTGTGCAGTTTGACCCGACCAAGTCGAATTATACACATGACATCGCGCAGTCATGGATCGTCAAGCTTGATTAGTGGGCCTTCGGGTTTTCAATCAGGTTTCAAGTTGGGACATCAAGCCCATACAGCCAGCTTCATTACATGGATTTCAGCAAAACTGAGCAGAGAAGAGAGCTGAAAGACCCAATGGTGTGATTTTAACTGCAACCTTCGGAACAAGGTTGGTCTAGGCTTTTAGGACCCAACCCAGCTCAATCTAGCCAGTTTAAAAGTTCATGTCACCAAACACGGCCAAACACTAACACACACATTATCAAGACAATTCCAGACAATAAGTTGGATCCCATTCCTTGGAACTTGACGGTGGCCGTTGGCCAGCCACTGACACATGCAATCAACACTGATGCACCTCCTGATACAGAAAAGAAGTAGTTCCCAAACAGACGTTTGAAACAGGAAGAAAACGAAAACCTGAAACTATTTTGCTTAGTGATTCTACTCATGTGTGCACCAATGTCTGAACTTCAACACATTGGTTTTGGTATTGTGAATTCAGCTGGGCAGCACATGGCCTCTGATTCATCCACCATTCAAGTAGGAACATTGAGGTGAAAATGATACTTGCATATCAAATGACTCACGCTCAAATCGGAAATCGCAAAACCAACCTGTAACCAGGATATAATTCATGGTGCGGCTGACTTCCCACGAATGCGTCTGGTCACTTTGCGAGAATGTGCTTCATCACCATCATGATCATCAGTTCTTGAAACAGCCCTGATTGTCCGCCGACATGAATGAAGCGCCACGAACGTAGTTGGAGGAGGAACATCCCTCGGTGTTTTGCAATGGAAAGACTTGTGAGGGATCTCAGTTTGATGTGTTGTGCAGTTTTTCTTAAAGAAATCACATTGCAAAATAAAACTTCTGAACTACATAGTGTGTTGCCTGTGATTGCAAACCTTCAGGAACTTTCAACAAAGCGTTCCACTGTTTGATTACAACGGGGATCAACAACACAGTGAGAAGGCAGCCTACTTTTTAAAACTTTGGAAGGGTGATATATCCGGTAGTCGTCATCACAAACTGATGAAAGATTTTGAACAGGCAACTGGTGGCTGTTTCATACTAGTAGGAAATCACAAACACTCTAACTACTGTGCTAGTATTTGTTCGTGCGTTTGAACATCAAAAAATAAATCAATAAAAAGTCTAGTAGAATCTGATATTGTGATATTGTGGTACTTTAGTACTTTAGGATAGGATAGGAATGTTTGTTCTCAGATAGGTATAGCTCATACCGGCTCATATCACAACAAATTAGCAAAAATCATGAGCAGTATAACTGTCAAGAATATATCAGTACAGGTCTTAGTCTTAGTAATTTAGCCTAAGTTTTTTTCAATTTGTCAAGTCCAATGGCTTGTGGGTTGATATTCAAAAGAGGTAAAATATCTCTAAAATTTCATACGCAACAACAACAACAACTACTACTACTACTACGACGACGACTACTACGATGACTACTACTCCTGGTCCTGCTGCTGCTGCTACTACTACTACTACTACTACTACTACTGCAACAAAAAATATTATATATATACATTCATTTACACAAAGAAAAACAGTTGCCTTGGCAACGCATGTAAACTCAATCAATCATCCACCCATCAGCCATGACTGATTGACTGATTGACGAAAACTAATGTTGATGTTGCTGTTGTTGTTGCTTCCACTCGGGTACCTGGCAAACAGATAGATAAGATAAGATAATAATAGACCCAATGACTCAAGGTCACTGTCTTAATCCAGTAGGTATATTCTGGATTCCAGCAGAGTCCCAAGTAAATCAGCCAATGGGACCATGCCCCACACCATACCAAGGCACCGAAAATGAATGAGTGAATACAGCTCACTTACTGCTGCCAGCAATAAACTGTCACTGTTGCCGCACTGTGCCCTCACATCAGCAGGTTTTCGACGACGCTCCACATTGAATGAAGTCAAGACAAATGCTTCTGGATTTGCCCTAGTCATCACCAAGTCAGGGTGAACAGGAAACCCCATAGCCACCAGGGCTTCTGATGCAAACAGCCAGCGTGGCGTGTCACCAATCTTGGGAGAGTAAGTAAACATAAGTCCAAAGTTGTGAATGAATGTTTGAAGAAACTTGGTAGTGGACTTACTTCCACGTTCCTCTGCTGATTGGTTCAAGTTGAAGCACATATTTGGCCAGCGTTTTTGGTAGTCCTTGGAGTTATGAAACTCTGCTTCTGTCAAAGCCAGGGTCCATTGAAACTCTTCACACTTCAACCCAACAAACTCTTGGCCAGTTTGTCCTTGTACTGGCTTAGTTTGGCCTTCTGGCTCCTGGCTATGTTTCAATCGCCATTGTGACAAAGGGCGATTTGTGGCCCAACGCCACTCAGTCAAAACCTCATCTTGAATCGCAGTCTTTGGTTCACCTGTGGACTGTTCGATTTGAGACATCCAAAACAATTCCTCCCATCCAAATGCAACTGGTCGTTGCAATGCATGTGTGTGATCAGCCAATGATTTTGAAGGACCCAAAGTTTTGAGTTTGTGTCTACCAATCTGGTATGATCGAAGACGCGCAACTGGAAGTCCAAAGTTGACAGAATCAATGACTGCAACTTGAATGTCATAGATATGTGACAGGAATCGTACCAATATCTCCTTCACAGGAAAGCCTTCCACGTTTTCGCTTGTGAACTCCGGAGGCTGGAGCATGAGGATCAATCCCACCCTGAGCCACAGGGTCATGAGTCAAGTCAGCGCAACTAAGTCAACAATTTAATAATTAAAGACATCAAAATCAACTCAACGACGCAACAATGTCTGAGTCTTACTCTTAATTCAGGAATGCAGGAATGCTACCAAAAAGAAAAACACAGTGTTGTCACAACACAGCACAACACACACCAAAGAGTGATCTCAAGGAGTCATTCATTGTCGTCATCATCATCATCACCATCATCATCATACGCTATGGTTCAGTATAATGATGGCTCTGATTTTTTGACTATGATAACAAGAAGAAGTTGTTGTGCGTGAGTCGTAAGAGTCCTAGCGAGTCCTTCGGTAGTTAGACTTTGTATTCTAGTCGAGCCTCCTATCAACAAACAACCCCCCCCAAAAAAAGTTTGAAAACTGCATCCGTAAAATCACCAACCAACAAATGTTAAGTTATATAATGGTCGTGTTGTCGTGTTGTTTGTCGGTTTCAAAACCACTCCTCAATCCATCTGCGCAAATGACAAAATACCAAGAAGCCAGCATAACAACGAAAGAATGCTTGGGTCGTTCATTGCCAGCTGTAGCCCTTGCTTGGAATATGCCGTGCAAACCTGCACAGCAGAGCCAGGTGTGTGTGTGTGTAGTTGACCGGGTATGTTGTGTGTAAAGATTTATTGCAACATGCAGTTATACAATACCATACACTTGAATCAAACACATCACAGAAAAAAATATTGAATCGATAAAGATTATCACTTCATCGCCTTACAATATGTCACTGTCATGCTAATGTTGGGTGTATGGCATATGGGCATATGGTGTTCTATTTCTATTGGCTTTGATGACCAATGAATCTGAATCTGAATCATACCAGATGATTTGTAATTTGTAAGTTGTTCATATTCTCATCTCCAATCCACTCATCATAAACCAACAAATGTTAATATTATCGTTATTAAGATATTAAAAGTAAATATGGACATGGACACATGGATTCACAGGAAAGAATACAGTGTATAGTATAGAGATGTAGATGTGATGCTGTTGAAACACTGCCCCCCCTCATGTTCATGTATTACTACAGAATAAATGC